GCTAATTTTGTATTTTTAGTAGAGATGGGAAATCACCATGTTGGCCAGGCTTGTCTTGAACTCCTGACCTCAGTTGATCTACCGTCTCAGCCTCCCAAAGTGCTGAGATTGCCACCGTGCCCTGTCCCAGTCCTGTTTCTATCCCCAACCTTTGAGTGCCTTACAAATAGACTGGATTAACCTGTGGGGATCCCAGAAATCTAGTACAGAATTGAGAGGCATTGGGATTGAATCTCAGTGGCCTGGTTATTGACGCTGGCATTCACAGCCTGTGAATCACCATACAAATGTCTTATTCAGAAGCTGAGGTGGAGACGGAGGGAGGCTGGATAATTAGTATTGCAGGTCACTAGTGAAAGGCCTCAGAAAGCATCAAACTGTCCCAATAAATTATTTTTCCTGGCCTTCTCCATACAACCTCATAATTCCAATTTCAGATGTTTGGAGTGGGCAAAATGCTCTTACGATTTCCTTTGCAGCAATGAGGAAAGCACATTACACTGACAGCAGTGTTGAGAAGGGAAACCAGTTTTTCTTCCATCTGCTGCCTCTGTCTTCCAAACAGCTTCCATTAAATTTGCCATTTGACACAGGCAGAGTGTGACAAAAGACATAACAAGAACTTTGAGAGTGAAAAATACCTTATGAAGTGTGCCACTAAAGAAAAACCACTTTAAAAAAACCAATTCCTCCTTCCTGCAAAACAACATAACTATCCTTTTTTATTTTTGGAGACAGAATCTCACTCTACCCGCTAGGCTGGAGGGCAGTGGTGCGATCCCAGCTCACTGCAATCTCTGCCTCCCGAGTTCAATTGATTCTCCTGCCTCAACCTCCCAAGTAGCTGGGTTTATGGCAAGTGCCGGCTAATTTTTGTATTTTTAGTAGAGACAGGGCTTCACCATGTTGGCCAGGCTAGTCTCAAGCTCCTAATCTCAGGTGATCTGTCCGTCTTGGCCTTCCAGTGTGCTGGGGTTACAGGCGTGAGCCACCACGCCCAGCTCAACATAACTATCTTTTACAAAAGTTCTTCATTTATAGACACATTGGTATCTATTACTGTGCCTTTTGACAAACTATACTTCTGGGCAACTCTGGGACTTCTCCATGTCCTTAATATTGCATAGGATACTCTGGAGCTCTGAGCCAGACCCACATCCTGGACCTGGCCTCCAACTCCAGTCCATTATGGGGATTGACAAAGATCATCTCCTTTCACCAAAACTTGACTCAGCCTCCCCTGAGTCCTCTGCCTGACTGGTCCTGAGGTCCCGACCTTGGGCTTTTCTTTCTGTCCTTGTAGAATCCAGTTTGAGCAAGAATCCTACTAAATCAGTTTAGCAAAGTCCCCCACCCTTCGTATCTGGCCACCTGCCGTGATAGCTTATCACCCTGGCCTGCCTTCAGCAAAAACCCTATCAAGACAGGAACTCTCCATCCTTGATGTTTTGTTTTAGTAATTTTTCATCCACTGCCCCTGCCCTGCTCCTTGGCTGTCAGTCCCTGCTTACTTCCACAGTCAGAGTTGAGTCCAATTCTCTCCCCCAGTGCTATTCCATTGCAGTGATCTCTGTACCTATGGCCATGGGCCCCTTCAATAGTCCATAGTACTGTCTTTAACAAGTGTGGATACATTTCTTCTTCTTTTTTTTTTTTGAGATGAAGTTTCACTTTGTCACTCAAGCTGGAGAGCTGTGGCATGATCTCGGACTGCAACCTCTGCCTCCCAGGTTCAAATGATTCTCCTGCCTCAGACTCCCGAGTAGCTGGGACTACAGGCACCTGCCACCATGCTTGGCTAATATTTCTTTTTTTTTTTTTTTTTTTGGAATGGAGTCTCACTCGTTGCCAAGGCAGGAGGGCAGTGGCACGATCTTGGCACACTGCAAGCTCCACCTCCAGAGTTCAAGTGATTCTCATGCCTCAGTTTTTTAAGTTGCTGGGACTACAGGCATATGCTATCTTAACTGGCTAATTTTTTGTATTTTTAGTAGTGATGGGGTTTCACCATGTTGGCCAGGCTGGTCTTGAACTCCTGACCTTCAAGTGATCTGCCCGCCTCAGCCTCCCAAAGTGCTGGGATTACAGACGTGAGCCACCGCACCCGCCTACATGTTTTCTTTAACAGGACAGACCCCACGGGCTATTATCAATCCTGGTAAGAAGGCTGCTGGGATCAGTCAGGTCCTAGCCCGCCACTAACCAGACTTAAATGTTTTGGAAAGATTTTCCAGCATTTCAGTTTTACTGTAAAAGATTAAATTGCCGTCTAGTTGTCTGAATTGGGAGCATCAAAAGAGCTGGAGTGGAAAACAAACTGGCTTTAGGGGAGCTGTGCCAGTTTCAGGCCCTACCAGTGGCACTGGACAGCCCTGTCAGTGAGTGATGGGACAGGTGGTTATTAACAAGAATGAACAATTATTAACAAGAATGTGCGCTCCGACTCTTTCCTGTTCTCTGCCTTGCAAAAAGGAATTGAATATGGTCATGTGCCACATCACAAAGTCTCTGTGTATGATGGGCATCCTATAAAATCATAATGGAGCTGAAAAGTTCCTATTGCCTAGTGACATTGCAGTGCAATGCGTTACTTACATGTTTATGAGTAATGCACTGATGACTGATGATGCTGGTTTAAACAAACTTTCTGCTCTGCCAGTCCTATAAAAATCTACACATACAATATGCAATTATGTACAGTACATAATACTGAATAATAATAAAGTGACTGTGTTACTGGTTTCTGTATTTACTATACTACATTTTTATTGTTATGTTAGCGTGTACTCCAACTCCTGTACAAAGAAAAGTTAACTGTTAAGCAGCCACAGGCAAGTCCTTCAGGAGATGCCCAGAAGAAGGTATTGTTATCATAGGGGATGACAGCTCCATGCATGGCCTTGCCCCAAAGACATTCCAGTGGGATGAGCTGTGGAAGGAGAAGACAGTGATATTGATGATCCTGACCCCATGGAGGTCTACGCTAATGTATATGTGTGTCTTAGCTTTTAACCAAGAGTAGGCCAGGTGGTACCTCACACCAGTAATTCCAGGACTTTAGGAGGCTGAGGCAGGAGGATCGCTTGAGCTCAGGAGGGCAAGTCCAGTCTAGGAAACATAATGAGACCCTTGTCTCTACAAAATTTAAAAAATTAGCCATATGTGGTAGGTATGCCTGTAGTCCCAGCTATTTAGGAGGCTGGGACGGGAGAGTTGCTTGAACCCAAGAGGTTGAGGCAGAAATGAGCCGTGATTGGGCCACTGCACTCCAGCCTGGGTAACAGAGCAAGATCCTGTCTCAGGAAAAAAAGTAAAAAAGTTTAAAAAGTAAAACAGATTTAAAAAATGTTAAAAAGATTTTAGAATAAGGATATAAGGAAAATATTTTTGTACAGCTACACAACATGTGTTTATTGTTTTGTTTTGGTTTGGTTGTTTTTGAGATAGAGTCTTGCTCTGTTGCCAGTTACCAAGCTGGGGTTCAGTGGCACAATCTTGGCTCACTGCAACCTCCACCTCCCGGGTTCAAGCAATTCTCCTGCCTCAGCCTCCCGAGTAGCTGGGACTACAGGCGTGCATCACCATGCCCAGCTAATTTTTGTATTTTAGTAGAGATGGGGTTTCACCATGTTCGCCAGGACGGTCTCAATCTCTTGACCTTGTGATCTGCGCACCTTAGCCTCCCAAAGTCCTGGGATTACAAGTGTGAACCACCACACCTGGCCACAACATGTGTTTTAAGCTAAATGTTATTTTGAAAGAGTCAAAAATTTAAAAGATCAACAAGTTTAACATGTAAAAAAGCTACAGTAAGCTAAAGTTAATAGATCATTGAAGAAAGAACAAAAATTTAAATAAATGTAGTGTAGCCTAAGTTACAGCATTTATAAAGTCTGCAGCAGTGTATAGCAATGTGCTAGGCCTTCACGTTCACTCACCACTCACTCACCCAGAGCAACTTACAGCCCTGTGAGCTCCATTCATGGTAAGTGCCTTATGCAAGTATTCCATTTTTTATCTTTTAGACCATATTTTTACTGTATATGTTCTATGTTTAGATACACACATGCTTCCCAATGTGTTCCAATTGCCAACAGTACTCAGTACAGTCACACACTATACTGGTTTGCAGCCTAGAAATTGGTGTGTAGCCTATTACTGAGCCATATAGCCTAGAGGGGTAGTAGGTTGTACTATCTAGGTTTGTGTAGGTACACTCTGCGATGTTCACACAAGAATGAAATTGCCTAGCAGTGCATTTCTTAGAATATGTCCCCATTGTTAAGGGACCCATCATTATAATAAAAAGTTGAAGGCCGGGCACCGTGGCTCATGCTGTAATCCCAGCACTTTGGAAGGCTGAGGCAGACGGATCACAAGATAAGGAGTTCAAGACCAGCCTGGCCTGTATGGTGAAACACCATCTCTTCTAAAAATTAGCTGGTCATGGTGACACATGCCTGTAGTCCCAGCTATTCTGGAGGCTAAGGCAGAAGAAGTGCTTGAACCCAGCAGGCAGAGATTGCAGGGAGCTGAGATAGTGCTACCGCACTCCAGCCTGGGCGACAGAGCAAGACTCTGTCTCAGTGAAGTAAAATAAAATAAAAATATAAAATAAAAAGTTGAGACACTGAAGGGAAGGGAAGGGAAGGGAGAGAGGATATTCTTTGTGGCCTAAGAATATAGAGAGAGGGATGAAGGCTATCGCATTAGATAGGGGAGAATTTAGGAGTTATGTGTTGCTAGAGTGTTCTGCATGTGGTCTTCTTTAATTTTGTTTTGAAAGACATAAATCAGAGATTAAAATATTTTTTTAAATTTCCTTTGATTGTTTAGATGTGCTTCTTTGAAGGTAAACTTGCACTGATACTTGATGGGTCACACAGACTTACAGTGAAAAAGAGCTTCAGGAAAATCAGAAGAGAAATCTGAGCAATAATTAAAAACACACTGTATTAGTCTGTTCTCACACTGCCAATAAAGACACATCTGAGTCTGGGTAATTTACAAAGAAAAGACGTTTAATGGACTCATAGTTCCATGTGGCTAGGGAGGCCTCATAATCATGGCAGAAGTCAAAGGACGAGCCAAAGAACATCTTACATGGTGGCAGGCAGGAGGGTGTGGGGATCGCTCCTGCGAAGGGCCCTTGACAGGACCCTCGCCATCTTGAACTTGAGCCCATACACGTTTCTCCTCTCCTGGAGGCTGTTGAGCTAAGGGAAAGGAGGAAGTCTGGTTGCACTGATTTTATAAACATCAATCTTTGCCTCTGACATTTGCAACAGAATGGCTGAGCTCAGGCCTTGTGGTCTAACGAGACATTGTATGGTTAGACATTGTGTGCCTCCTAGTTCCTTCTCTGCACAATAACTGTATGACTTTGTTTACCTCTGCTAACTCAATCATATTGTTTGCATATGATCCTATATGAATAGGCAAGGTTAGAAGGACATTTGGAAAGGTCCAGCTATACCTTGTTAACGATCTTACTTGCCTGCTTAACTGATTTTAGAAAAACACATGTTTAGATTTATGACCCCCTTTTTGCAAACTTTATTGTCCCTTTGCTGTACACCCTTTGATTAAGAGTCATACTTTCTGTACCCCTTTTCTTGTGATTCTTGTTCTTGATTTTATTTTAAGATACAATGGAATGTACATCACTCCTTAAACACTGAAAGGTATATAACCTGTAGTTTGCACAAATAAACTTGCTGTCTTGGCACTTGCTGCTCCGGCATTGCCTGGCAGTCCTCCAGACCCCACTCTCTATCTATCTTTTCTTCCGCGCACTCCCTCTTCCAGGTTAAGAACACTTGAGTGGGGCTGAGGCTCTCCGCTGGTCAGAAGCCCCCCGGCAGATGTGCCAGACCCCCACAGGAGGGCATTTAGAAACTGCCCTTTTTAAAACTATCAGATCTCGTGGGGCTTATTCACCACCATGAGAACAGCTTGGGAAAGACCCATCCCCATGATTCAATTACCTTGCTTTCCTGACCCATGTAAATCCCTGGTCTACATTGTCCTTCATAATGGCTATGTAGCATTTTCTAGTTATTACAACAATTTGTGAACACATCTATTCTGCTTAACTATTAATAATATAAGCAATTTGAGAGTAGGGCATACTATATCTTACCTTTTAAACCATAGGGCCACAATGCCATAATTGGAACTTTTGTGTCCTCCCTCCCCCTGCCCAAATTCATGCATTGAAATCTTAATCCCCAAGGTATTGGGAGATGATGCTTTGTGAGGTGATTAGGTCACAAGGGTGGGACCCTTATGAATGGGATTAGCATCCTTATAAAAGAGGCCCCAGAGAGACCTCTCACCCCTTCCAACTTGAGGACACAGGTAGAAGACACCGTCTATGAACCAGGAAGTGGGTCCTCAGCAGACACCGAATCTGCTGACATCTTGATTTTAGACTTTCCAGCCTCCGGAACTATGAGGTATACATTTTGGTTCTTTATAAACTCTCAGTTTATGGTATTTTGTTATAACAGCTCCAATAGACTGAGAAGCCCTCAGGGTCTCCTACTTTCTTTCTTTCTTGTTTTTAAACCATTATTTTAGTTCCAAGGGCACATGTGTCAGTTTGTTATATAGGTAAACTCATGTCACAGGGGTTTGTTGTACAGATTATTTTGTCACCCAGGTACTAAGCCTAGTAGTACCCAAGAGTTACTTTACCCAATCCTCTCCTTCCTCCCACCCTCCACCCTCAAGTGTCTGTTGTTCCTTTCCTTGCGTCCATGAGTTCTCATCATTTAGCTCCCACTTATAAGTCAGAACAGGCAGTATTTGGTTTTCTGTTCCTGTGCTAGTTTGCTAAGGAAAATTGCCTCCAGTTCCATCCACATTCCTGCAAAAGACAGAATCTCATTCTTTTCATGGCTGCATCATATTCCATGGTGTAGATGTACCACATTTTCCTTATCAAAGCTGTAATCAATGGGCATTTAGGTTGATTCTATGTCTTTGCTATTATGAATAATGCTGCAATAAACATTTATGTGCATATGTGTTTATGATAGAATGCTTTATTAATATATTCCTTTGGGTATATACCCAGAAATGGTATTGCTGGGTAGAATGGCAGTTCTGCTTTTAGCCCTTTGAGAAATCGCTACACTGCTTTCCACAACAGTTGAACTAATTTACACTCCCCCTAAGAGTGCAGACTGTTCCCTTTTCTCCACAACGTTGCCAGCATCTGCTGTTTTTTGACTTTTTAATAATAGCCATTCTGACTGGTGTGAGATGGTAACTCACTGTGGTTTTGATTTGCATTTCTCTAAAGATCGGTGATATTGAGTATTTTTTCCTATGCTTGCTGTCCTACTTTCTAAGATTACACTAAGTACGTTACATAAGTACTTACATGAATGGACTCATTGCATTGGTGTGATCTCAGCTCACTGCAACCTCTGCCTCCTGGGCTCGAGTAGTCCTCCCATCTCAGCCTCCTGAGAAGCTGGGACCACAGGTATGCACCAGCACACCTGGCTAATTAAAACAATTCTTTTTTGTACAGACAGGGACTTGCTACTGGCTTCAAGCAATTCTCCTTGGCCTCATATCTGTATTACTCTAGGAATGCATGGGGGATTCTGAGGTCCACCAGACCCCTGGACCTATTCTGTCTCTTGCAGTGGCTCTGACAGCTGGGTCCACTGTGGGGCTCCATCTGTATTAGTAACTCTTTGGGAAGTCTGACATGGTTTTTTCTGGAGGAGCTTTCTAATAAATATACAGTCATCACCTCACTTCCCACCAAAATGCTTCCAGTTCTCAAGCAGAAGATGATAGTTCTCAGATAACACCATGAAACCTGTCAAAACCTCTAACGCTGGGGGAGAGAGTAAGGGAAAAAGAAGTCTATCATCAGCTACCAATGGTTATGCTTGCCTTTTTGTTCCTCTTCACTATCTTCTAAGCACTGGGAGTGTCTTCTAGGCACCACAGGGTGCATGCTGCATGGGAGCCTGGGTGGGTGTTGGCACTGCAATTAGCAGCTGGGTTCAGGGACCGCTGGAAATCACCCCTGCTGCTCCACCCCCAGGTCGCACGTGAGGCCCAACTGCAAGACGGGAGCCTTGGCTTCCAAAACCCGATCCTCCAAAATTTGGGCTTATGTAACTTATTTGTTTATTTTTAAGCCAGCCCTGTCCAAGTGGAGAACATTTAAGACTCCCTTTTAGAGAAAATTTGGATCTCAACATTATTATTAACTAAATCAGCAAGCAATGGTTTTGTAATATTTCCAAGTGGCACAGTTCTGTGGACTTAGAGCTTCCTGTCCTCGGTGGAATTAGATCGCACGATGGGTTCCCGAAATTGTTCCTGGGATTTCACTCTCACTCCCGCCTCTGCCCCACACATGCTGGCCTGAGTCTAAGGGGGTCTGGGACTTCTTTTACTTTTTGATACAGGGTCATGCTCTGTCACCCAAGCTGAAGTGCATTGGTGTGATCTCAGCTCACTGTCACCTCTGCCTCCTGGGTTCAAGCAGTTCTCCCACCTCAGCCTCCCAAGAAGCTGGGACTATAGGCATGCACCATCACACCTAGCTAGTTAAAAAAAAAAATTCTTTTTTGTACAGACATGGACTTGCTACTGGCTTCCAGCGATTCACTTTGGCCTCCCAAAGTGCTGGGATTACAGGTGTGTGCCACCATGCCCAGCCTGGGCCTGGGACTTCTGCACTGGAGTCCCCTCCATTTGAGAAGGGGCCATGGAGTCCCTGTTCTGTAACTGAGTCCAGTGGTTCTCCAGCTAGTACAGTTGCTGGGGCCTCTGGAAGACACGCCGCTCTTCACAGAGCATGGTAAAACAGAAAACAGAAGGCGTATCTTTGGGTCAGATCAGATCACTTTATATTAGATTCTAAACACGGGCGCAGCATGTGCCAAGGGTCTGATATAAATGGCTGTGGAGATGTTCATGGCTGTATGATTTCTCCCCGGAAAAACACTGAAAACAATCTAAATGCTCAGCAAGAGTAGCTAATAAATTGTGGCCATTTTCAGTCTATCCATGGAAGTCATTAAGATTCGTTGCAGAGCCTTTAATAACGTGAGGGAAGTGTTTATGATTTGTTAGGTTAAAAAAAAAATCACATATGACATATGAGGGCAATGGTGTTTATTACATGTGCAGAGACTCTTAGAAAATATACTACAATTTTAGAAGAGGTAATATCCCTGAATGATGGCATTATGCATTGTTTTTATTGCTTTATTTTTATTGTCAATTTTTCTAAATTAAGTATATATTACTGTGATCATCAAAAAATAAAATGATTAGAAGGTAGCTGACCTTCTCAGTGATGGTGGATTTCGGTTCACATTTTTTTCTTTCTTCTTTCTTTCTTGCTTTCTTTCTTTCTTTCTTTTCTTTCTTTCTTTCTTTCTTGTCTTTCTTTCTTTTCTTTCTTCTTTCTTTCTTTCTTTCTTCTTCTTCTCTTCTTCCTTCCTTCCTTCCTTCCTTCTTCCTTCCTTCCTTCCTTCCTTCCTGTCCTTGCCTTCATTTCCCTTCTTCTTTCTTCTTTCTTTCTTATCTTTCTTTGCTTCGTTCTTTTTCTTCGTTCCTCGCCTCTCTAGCCCTCTTTCTTTCTTTATTGAGACAAGGGTCTCACCTTTGTTGCACAGCTGGAGTGCAGTGGTGTATCTCGCTCTACAACCTACAACCTCCACCTCCCGTGTTCAACTGATCCTCCCACGTCAGCCTCCCAAATAGCTGGGACTACAGGTGCACAACACCAGGCCCAGCTAATTTTTTGTATTTTTAGTAGAGATTGGATGTCACAATGTTACCCAGGCTAGTCTTGAACTCCTGACCTCAAGTGCTCTGCCCGCTTTGGCCTCCCAAAGTGCTGGGATTACAGGCATAAGCCACTGTGCCTGGTGCACATTTTATTTAGATACCATTTTCCTTGGTCCTTACTTAGCTCTTCACCCTCTCATGGCTCCTCCAGGGAGGGGCTAGAGGGAAAGACTAGAATTTAAGATGAGAAGGATGAGATGCTCTCCTATGCACAGAGTCACAGTAATTCTTCCTGGGGACCTAGAGACTTATGAACATCTGGAAGCAGCACACATTCTGTCCAGATTCCCCAGTGTAAACTCAGAGTGTCACAAATCTGAGAAGGAAAGAAACCAGACTCACAGCAACTTTACATGAACTGATTCATCCCGTCTTCAGACAAGAAAGGGTTCCAGCAGGACACTCCTCCCCTCGCCCTATTACCGCAGCTTCCGCACCCCTAAAAGAACTTAACTGAAGTGCAGATAGACATCCTCAGGGTCTGGCAAGGCAGCCTGGTTCATACAAGGCAACTGGGCTGCACACGCTGAGCTTTGAAGGTGGTCCCGCCAAGACAAGCCTGGCTGACGCCTCGGGCCAGCCCGTTCCTTCAGTCCTTGTGGGTTTCCTCCATGTGTTAAATGAATGTAATGTGACCCGAAGCTTCTCCTGGAGCTATGTCCCATGACCTCATCTACCACTGCCTATACACGTGGGGAAGTGCCTGCCTCCAAGCGCTGAAGTATAGGAGGACCTTAGCTAGGCATGAGCAGCAAGGCTTTTCTTAAGACTGTTTATAGGACAGGAGCAGTCTTAGTTAGCAAGCATGGCGATAATTCCATTCAACTACATCCACCAACTGTTTACTGAGTGATTAGCAACATTCTGAGCAAAGCATCCAGGAATCCCCCCAAATTCCTTACAGCATGCCTCAGTTTCCCCCATTTGCATCCCATCTATCCCCTACTTTAAGGCTTGGATTCTTTTGTGGTGCTGTGGAGCCAGCACTGGTTTTAAAATCAGTGGGTCTGGCTGAAGATCCCGTCTCTGCTCTAACACTCACAAGCAAGTTGCTTAGTCTTCCTAAGTCTCATTTTCCCTGCCTTTGAAATAGGAATAATAAAGCCAGCTTCAGGGGAGAGTTCTTGAGTAGAGTTGCCGGATTGAGCAAAGAAAAGCACAGACACCCAGTCGAACTGAAATGTTAAATAAACAAGAACATTTTTTAGTTTAAGTATGTCCCATGTAGTATTAAGGACATTCTTATACTACAAAATTATTTGTTGTTTTTCTAACATTTCAGTTTAACGGGGTGTCCTGCATTTTATCTGACATCCCTATCCTTGAGGCTGAAATGATTTATTTACCTGAAAGCCCTGCCCAAGAGCTCATGAGTTCACTTTTCTCTGTACCTTTTTCTCTCAGGGTGGATCCCACAAAGTGCTCAACCCCTTGACCCTTGCATATCAGAGAGAATGAAGACTGTTGGCAGGTGGGTGGAGGGAAGGTCAGGATGCTCAGTTAGGGGTGCATTTACCCCAAAACAGTAAGAGAGTGCAAAGCATAGCACTGGCATGCTGCTACCCCACTTCACCGACATCTTCAAAGGCCTTAGAGAACAGTGTTGTGTGCCTTCAACACACTCTTTGCTGCATGTAGGTTGGTCAGCTGGAGTGACACCACAGGGCCAGGAGAAGCCCTAATGGGGACACCAACCCCAGGGAAACCCCGTCTAGGCATGATCATTCCATTGACTTCAGAGGCCACTGCAGTGCACACTTGACACGGGGACTTTCCTGGAGGTGATTTTTTACACAAAGGGGATAAAGGTAACTGGGTGCCCCAGAAACCTCCCTACAACTTGCAGGAAACCAGGGGTGTGATGCAGGTCTGTGCTTCTCCTTCTTTCTTTGGTTTTCTGCTCCCTCTTTGTGGCTTCTCCCTGCTGCCTCCCCCAGACCCAAATTCCCCCTCCCCCAACTTAAGCTCCCCCAGCTTGTGGAGTGGAGGTGGGCAGGTGGCAGGTCCACTCTCCCAAGTCATGCACGTCACAAGCTGCCCAGGAGCCCTCAGGACCTCGGGTATAATTTTCCTCCTCTGAGCATCTGAATTCCAGGCAGGGTGCTCAGCTGTCATGGGCTTCGTGAAACTTTTCCATCAGGATTGAAACTGGGGCCAAGAAAGCGTGACTCTGCGGAAGACATTCACTTCTGCTATTCAGATGCACTTTCCCTTAGGTTCAGGCTTTAGAAAATGGGGCATTTACTCAGTCACAGAGGAAAGTTTTGAATTTCATTACAATGAGAAAACACATGAAGAGGGGCCATCGGAGGCTGCATTTCCAAATCTCTGCCACGTCTTTTTCTCCTATCCCTTTCCCTTCTCTTATTTACTAGTTTTCTTTAAGTGAATTCATTTTCCGTAATTTTTTAGAAAAATTTATTTTAAGCGGCAATATTTATAAAATCTAGGGTTTAATGTGATCATATATATGTATATATATAATTTTCTCCAACATATGAAAATAAATGTACACTGCAAATTTAAAAATGCTCATCTTGGCCGGGCACAGGAGTTTGTGCCTGTAATCCTAGCACTCTGGGAGGCCGTGGTGGGTGGATCATATAAGGTCAGAAGTTCAAGACCAGCCTTGCCAACATAGTGAAATCCCATCTTTACTAAAAATACAAAATTTTGCCAGGTGTAGTGGTTTGCGCCTGTAGTCTCAGCTACTCAGGTGGCTGAGGAACGAGAATGGCTTGAAGCCAGAAGGCGGAGATTGTCATGAGCCGAGATTGCGCCATTGCACTTCAGCCTGAGTGACAGAGCGAGACTCCATCTCAAATAAAGAAATAAATGCTCATTTGTGTATCACTTAAAACTACATCTCCGAAACACAGCTCTACTCATTGAAGTTATTTGAGGCCGGGGAGTCCTGCCTTATTTAGTTAAGAGTAGCCAGATCTGAGTGAGAAATTGACTCCATGTCAGTCACCAGAGGAAGTCCTCCCAGGAGCTCTAGAAATAAGGTATTTTCATTGGCCCTGTTTTACAGACAAGGAAGCAGACTCAGGTAAAGGCCATCTCACTAAGTGCAAGTTAGATTCAAACCCGAGCAGTCTGAGTTTGGAGTCCACACAATCATCACTCTTGCTCACCTCTTGGGAAAAAACACAGGTGTTGATACTACTGCTTGCCAAGGAAAAAAAAACCAAAGGTCCTGTTGAAGAATGAATTCATTCAGTAATAAATGGTAAGTGCGTCCTTCCTGTAACTTCTAATGCATTGCTTGCAGCTACCAGCTTGCAGAGGAGTTGGATTCCAAAAGTTCATTTAAAAGCAATTTCCCCGTCTCCTTCCTCAGTGCTTCCTGCAGTACTTTGTACTCACCTCTCCTACTGCGCTTAACATGTCGTCCCTTAGTTCCTCACACATTTCCCTCCTTCACAGGGCTCCGGCTGCCCAAGGACAGGAACCTTGCTTTATTTATTTTAATATCCTCAGCACCTAGTCCAGTGCCCAGCCATGGAGACGCAGAGTATACGCATGTTGTATTAAATTACAAGTCATTTGTTTGGAACTCAGCACGCATTTCCCCAAGGAAACACATTACAAATGGGAATGGAAGCGTTCTGTTTCCAGCCAGCCCACAAAAATTTATTTAACCTGTCTCGTAGCCTACCAAGTTATCTGGAGCTGTAGGTGGGATGAAAGATATAAATCTTCCCCATCTCCTGGGTATAGGGTTAGATGTAAATAAAATTTCACATAGGTCAGTGTTCATTTTCAACTTACTCCAAATTGCCCTTTTTTCTGCATCTCCCAGCTATGGGGATCTCTGTCTCCAAGCTTCCTACTCAAAACCTACTGCAGGCCGGGTGCGGTGGCTCATGCCTATAATCTCAGCACTTTGGGAGGCCAAGGTGGGCAGATCACTTGAGGTCAGGGGTTTGAGACCAGCCTGGACAACATGGTAAAACCCCATCTCCACTAAAAATACAAAATAGCCAGGCATGGTGGCACATGCCTATAGTCCCAACTACTTGGGAGGCTGAGTCAGGAGAATCACTTGAACCTGGGAGACGGAGGTTGCAGTGAGCCGAGATCATACCACTGCACTCCAGCCTGGCAACAGAGCAAGATACCATCTCAAAAAAAAAAAAAAAAAAAAGAAAGAGAGAAAAAAGAAAAAACCCCACTGTAGTCCCTTACCCCAATTCTTTCTCCAGATAACCTACTTGTCCTGCTCACTCATCAAAATTTCCATTTTCTGAGTGTGGCTGAGCTCATCTGATTTTCAGTAGGAAATCAATCTGACAGAATTAATTCTTGCTAACCTGTGAATAACTGCCCCTATATTCCTTCACTTGCCCCCACCTCCAAAGCCAGGCATATGGCTATGTGTAGCACAGTGGTTAGCACTGTGGGATTGAAAGACAGACCTGGATTTGAATCCCAGTTCTACATAAAAGTTATGTAGTCTAGGCAGAGTGATGTGACTCCTCTCTACCTCGGTTCTCTCATCTGTAAAATGGGAATCACTGTAATTATCTAGAGAGCTGGTGCTTTTATAACACTTCTCAGAGTTATACCATCTATCAGGCACAGTTCTAAGGACTCTTCATGTATTAATCCAATTTGTCTTCACAACAACCACCAAAGGAGAGTGACATTCCAAAAGAGATTTCTAATGGTCAGTTAAAATTAATTACTATTGGCCGGGCGTGGTGGCTCAAGCCTGTAATCTCAGCACTTTGGGAGGCCGAGGTAGGTGGATCACGAGGTCAAGAGATTGAGACCATGGTGAAACCACGTCTCTACTAAAAAATACAAAAATTAGCTGGTTGTGGTGGTGCATGCCTGTGGTCCTAGCTACTCGGGAGGCTGAGGCAGGAGAATTGCTTGAACCTGGGAAGTGGAGGTTGCAGTGAGCCGAGATCGTGACACTGCACTCCAGCCTGGTGCCTGGCAACAGAGCAAGACTCTGCCTCCAAAAAAAAAAAAAAAAAAAAAAAAAAAAATTATTATTATTTATTCCCTGCTTTCCTTCTTCCAAAAAGGCCTTTGAGGAAAGAATGCTACATTGATAAAGTTTCTGGCAGTGCGGATTGGAAAGGGCAGTCATTCCCAGGAGGAGACTTTTCAGGGCAAAGAGGGAATTGCTGCTAGATCACCCAAGGCAGAAAATTTATCCTGAGAGTCGATTCCCTTATGCTGTTCCTCTTTCCACAGTTTTTCCCCTTCCTCTGCCTCTGAATGTGTGGAATCTGCAAGTGGTCCAATTTTTTTCTATCCCTTTCTTTCTTTTTTAATTTTTTTCACACAGTCCGCGGCAGCTGCAGAGTGGTGGGGGCCGGGCGGACGGCGGCAGCTGTTTGTATGTATGGGACCTCTGTAGTCTTTGTGAGTCAGGGGCTGTCTGTATATATCACGAGCTACCACCTGGCAAGACATTTAGTTCCATCCATGTTGTTGAAATGTTTCCTGGATGATATCATCAATGCACAAGGATGGAAGGAGCTTTACGATGTGGATTTCCAGCCTTCACTGTCCCCTGCCCCCCGCCTCCGCGGCCTTACACAGAAACAGTCTGGGGCGATTTTAACCTTCGGCTTAGCAGGCAACCTTGGATTTGCTCTCCAGTATTTCCCACTTACCAGATGCAGAGACCTAAAGCCCATGGCATATACATCGGAACAGAACTAGCAGTGTGGTCATGCAAAATCCCGAGCCTGCCAGTGACAGAGGCAGGTGGCAGCGCGCCCCTCAGCCCCCTTGCTGCGGTGGCCTTGTGTTGAAGTCACTGCACTTCTCTGAGCCTCAGTTTCCTCTTCCATCACACAGAGGGGTGGCTGCACTATCTCTACTCCCTCAGAGCTTTCGGACTCTTGGATGCTCTGATAAAGAACCCGGATGGATGGCAGTTGATCCTTTCTGATGTCACCCAGGGGTGGACAGTCCTTTGTGCCTATTGTAAGCCTGTTTGAATGTGTCCTCTTCCTTAAAATTGAGAATTGTTCCCTTTGCTAATTATACATTTCTTGTTTTAATTTGAAATTTGTCTCACTCTGGCACCCAGACTGGAGGGCACAATCACAACTCGCTGCAGCCTCTAACTCTTGGGGCTCAAAAGATCCTCCTGTCTCAGCCTCTCAAGTAGCTTGGGCTATAGGAACGTGCCACCCACACTCAACTAATTTGAGACTTTTTTATTGTTGTTTGCAGGACTTCTGAAAATATAGTTAACATTCTACCCCATATTTCCATTGCAGTGATACCTTGCATACTGTATGGTGACATGTCTGTTTTAACCTAGGTGATTAGTTTTCAAAGACTTAGTGGCAGTGATATTCAATTTTATGACATTTATATTTAATAAATATTTCATATGAACCTCAAAACAAAAATAGGAAGGAAAATGATACTCATTTTTAAGAGTGATGAGATTAAGGATGAATGAGTCTAAATACCTTCAACAATATCTCATTACTAAATGGAAGAGGCGTGGCGCAAACGCAGGTCCTATGACCCCAAGTCTAATGCTCAAGCCACAAGATCACATATTAATATAAACCACCACCAGCACCCGAAACAACAGCAGCCACCCAGTTGAGTTTCTGCTACATGCTGGACACCTTACTAGGTGCTTCGCATACAATCCTTGAAGCAACTGTGCAGAGGAGGCATTATCCTCAGTTAAGAGATGGAAACATTAAAGTTCAGAAAGATTAAGCATTAAGATTTGCCTGATGGCTGATGTGTGCTGAAGGCAAAATTCAAACCCGACACTGTTCTTTTGACAGTGCTGCCTCTTGCTTAAATATGCATCAACTAAATCGAGAGCCAATATAATTTACTCTTCAGGATTTTTTAAGGTCCTGTAAATTATTGTTCCATGAAAATACAGTGAACAAAAATTACTGGTTGGTTGAATCACATTCAGCCAAATTAGATCTCACTTAACTGCCTTAAATTTTCTTATTTGTATCATTCTGCTTCACAGATTTTCTTTTACATTCTTTTTTTTTTTTTTTTGGACAGGATCTCACTCGTTGCCCAGGCTGGAGTGCAGTGGCACCATCACGGCTCACTGCAGCCTTGACCTCCCTGGCTCAAATGATCCTCGTGCCTCAGCCTCCCAAGTAGCTTGGACATCAGATATGCACCATTACACCCACTAATTTTTGTATTTTTTGTAGAGATGGAGTTTTACCATGCTGCACGGGCTGCTCAAATTCCTGGGCTCAAGCAATCCACCCACCTCAGTCTCTCAAAGCCTTGGGATTATAAGCGTGAGCCACCATGACTGGCCTATTTTCCATTCTTTCAAAAATATCTTATTTTTTTTCTGGACCCCCGTAAAATATCTTTACTTCATTTTTAAGTGATGGGCATTTAAACTGAGCATGGTGGTCTTAGTTAGAACTTGAATGATGTCCTTTAGACTCCAATAGAAGAAAAGGATTCTAGCTTACCTCCCTCTTCCCTCATTCAGATTATATATCCTGGGATCATTTTACATTTATTTAGAATCTATTTTTTGGCCATCTTACCTAGGGGACCCTTGCCCATTTTTGTATCTGCATAATTCATCCATGAAACTTCTATAACTAACATCCATAACTTCATCTATGAAATGAGGACAGTGATTCCTGCCCTGTCCATATCTCATAGTTTTGGGGATGTTCAACCAAGTAGTATATAGGGAAGGCACTTAGAAAGGTGTAAAGAACCATCAACATAGACAATTATTATAGCATCTTTTGCTTTGGAAAAAGCTAAACTGCAGAAATGGAGTCATATAATTATTTAGTAAGACTGAGATTTGGATGTCCAAATTTATGTACTATTTATCATATGTAATAGGTAATAATGACAAAGGAATTTAATTAGTCATTAAATTATTTTAAAAGAGAATTCTTTTGCATAACTAAAAACAGTGCCTTCTTTATACCATAGAAAAACATAAAGACTAGTTAAATACTATGCTGTGGTCAAATACTGTACTAGTTAAATACAGTATAACACTATACTATATGTATTTAACTAGTCCTTTGTCTGTGGTATGAAAAGGGCATTGCTCTAAGTTATGCTTTCTGAGCTTCCTGCAGGCCTCCCTGGTTTTCTGGCCTCTACTGGTCTACAAAACCCCACATCTTCTGGAATTGCTATGAATTCTGCACTAGGCTTCTGATACAGAACACTTTCTAGTAGGAAAACACATTTTAACTCTTTTTGTGCAGTTCCATGACAACAATGAACTTTTGGAATCCATTGACTGAGAAAATAATGATAAAAGGACATTAAAAGTTTCTGTAAAACTTTTAAATGAATTTATATTTAGTTGATCACAACTGCATCCAAATGCTTTTGGAAGATACACAGTTATGCTGGAAACGTGATTCTACCAGGCGTGTGGTAGACACGCAGTAGATATTTGTCAAGTGAGTGCACAAATAAGAAGAGAATAAAAATTGGCAGACAGTGCTTGGGGCATATGAAGACTTGTGACCCTTCTGTCGTAACTCCACTCCCTGGCCACTGCTCTGAGAGCCAGAGCTAAGAGCTCAGAAACCACTTGTATTGTTTCTTAAATACCCAGTATACTGCAGGCACTCAATAATAGGGTACGGAAGGCAGGTATGTATAAATGAATAAATGCATACAGGAATATTTCTCTTGTCTTTCAGCTAAATTACAATTTTGAAGACAACTGGTATGATGTGGGCCTTTGTCCCTGGCAGAGCCCGGCATTGAGTTTCAAGAAGACAGCCTGCTTTCAGATAAACAACCAACTTGATCAGCATCACCTACCAACAGAGGCATTTCTGGAGGAGCTTATTTAAAAGAAAACATCTAAAAATTTAAATACCTAGAGAGACTGTAGATATTTTTGATTCTAGAAAATGCTTTTCGTTTCTCTGCAAGGTCATATGAAAGAAAGTTTGGAGTTAGAAAAATACGAGGAGACAAGAAAAGTCCTAAGAAGGAAGACATGTTGACAGTCTGGAGGCATGGGGAAGAGCATCTTGACCTCGGACGGTACAGCTTATCTTTTGCAGCCTAGGACGGATCTTCCGCTGAGTGAGCTAAGGCCTTATCAGAAAGAAGGCAGTGTGACCAGAACACTACCATGCAGAGATTTCAATCGCAAAGGAGTTGGTTAACTTGTTACCCCTTGAGGTGGCAGTGGCAAAAAGCAATTTACATATTCCTAAGTCATGAACTAAAGCATGTTCAGTATTTTTATGGGCAACATAACATAGATAACTCATTAGAGAATTCACTCACCTCAAAGATGCTGGATAGAGCAGTCCCGTCATCTCCCGGAGAAACTCAATACACGTTCTTCTTGGAGGCTCAGTGAAAGAGTCCCTGCCACCCAATCTGATGGCCACTTTGCCTGGCAGCAAAGGAAGTGAAAATGTCAAAATGAAGAGGAAGAAATTCAACATTCTCTCTCTCTAAGGGGAAAAATGCAGACACAAGTCTTTTTTTTTTCTTTTTCTTTTCTTTTTTTCTTTTTTTGTGGGGTAAAGGGTTTGGAAGTGCTTTGATTACAGAGGGTATCTGTGAAGCCCAACATAAATTAATCTTTATTATTGTTTTCCCTCAGCTTGTCCTGAAATCAGAGGCCTGATTTCCACGTAACAGCAGACTGGGAAACAAATCACCGAGGGCGAAAAGGAAATAAAGATGCTACAGCTGCTTTCGGTTCATTTTTCTTTCATGTTTAGTGGCTGCCTTGATATTCCTGACCTCAGATATTTCTGATGAGTTAAATATTTAATACCCTAAATCCGAGGTGAGGCCTTCACCATCATTTGGTCCAGATTCGCAGCCTCCTAGCTCTGAAAGTTGAAGTATGGTCACCAGCCCAATAACCCATAATGTCATACTCACCACAGAGCAGCACCTTCAAGCTTAACCTCCTGAGCAGAAACT